GATCATGTTTGATCCAGATTTGCAGAAATAAACTGAAAAATGAAAAATATTCAAATAATTACCACATCATTAAATGATATACCATAGTGATAATTTTAGCAGAACATATTTGTTTTTCATACTTTGCTGTTATCGGCATGCTGCTGTCTGCTGCAAAATGGCCAGCGAAACCAAGAATATCCACTAAGCGATTGTGATACAGAATTCATTCTTGAGGAAGGTCTTTATGCCTACAAAAGAAAAGTTACGATAGACACCCTCACAAGTTATAAGATGGCGGTTAAGATATGTGCGAGATTACTGTAGAACTCAGGCAAGATGTCACTCTTCCGCGCCACTGTCAGGGCCTTTACATATATTGTAACATATTGAAACATAGATAATAGACACGATGGGATCAATTTTGCTTTGTTGTTGTGATTTCTTCTCTTTTCATTTTTGTTTGTTTTGAAAACAAACCATCTTAACTGAAACACAAGCACTGAATCTTGATTTGAATTGAGCTGGGACAAATTCTACATAAACTGCTTCGAACAAAGCAAGATACAGGTTTTAATTGTGTCATATAGTTGCAATGCAAGGAAAAACATATAAAGTACACATACACATTAAATGTTCTGCTCGTTGGCATTAACAGCAGCTTTACTTCTTCTAAACGTAATTGTGTTTAACACATCTAATAAATGAAATTACTAAGCTGTAAAGAAATGGTTATCCGGACCATAACCTCTATGATTCCGTCTCTTTGGTATTAAACATTATAACAAGATGTACTATGTCAGACAAACATTGTGGCGACCTAGGTTTCACATTGTTATAAAATGTATTACATTACTGAAATGTTGTTCACAGAATTTCCAAGAAAAAACATCGATTGTTGAGGAGGAGGGGGAAAGTTCTTTATTTTTGGCACTTCGGTAAAAGGTAGTGTTAGACAGCAAATACACCCAGGACAACTGTAATTCTGACATCAGAGTATCCCTGAACATCGATTCCAGACAGGAGAGTTTTGTAACAGATGTCTGTATCTACTAGTAGTTTATAGATCACGTGTGAATTCTCTACCAGACTCCATGTCTTAAGTTCATCTATCACGGTCACTGCTATGTGCATGTCATTGTCACGTGGTTAATGTGTGTTCAATGTACTCTGACATTTGTATGATTTATCGTTTCGTTTCGTTTTTTCGTTGCGTTTCGTTTCTTATAAATGTTTTAGTGCGGTGAATATTCATTCACATTGAGAACAACCTAAACATATTTGTATATTAGCGTAGTATGCCGAGTCAGTGACAATGACTTTGAAAAAAGACAAAAGACTAAAAGTAATGTAGGTAGTGTAGCGCCTAATTAGACTGTATGTAAAACTATTTTGTAATTATTTTTTATATCTTGTAATTAGGCAAACCTTTCAGTTTTATCACAGCATCCTCAGTTTAATTTATTGCTGTCCCCTTTATCAACACAGCTTAATTACAAAACCTAGTTATTACTTAGCTTGACTCGATATGTAATTATCAGCTGTAACAATTACATGCTTTCAGATAAAAAATTAGGGTTTTATTAACTTTATTGTGAAAAATAAACACCTTAATTTCTTAAGACCTAACCGTAAGTTAAAAATGAACATTCTGATTTTCTAATGTATTTCATTGTTTTAATGGTGTTTGGTTAATAAAAGATTAAAGGATATTTCTGTAAAACACTTAAAAAGGTGGCACAATCAGAAGATTCCAACTGCTTTTGCCGATATCACGTCCGCGAAAGCTTAATTTACCAGCAACAACTGGACGTGTTTAATGCGTGTTACTTTGCCTGCTGGTTCCTTTGTTGTATACCTTGTTCTCATTTGAGAGCCTGACAATACATACTTGGATTGACCAAGGCTTACAAGACGGGTGTCGTCGATGAAGCAGAAGACGCTTATTCTTCCAGAACACCTGAAATAATCCTCCTTGTACTTTTTCTGGAATATTCATGTAAATCTTTCTTTTGTTCATATTTTGTCACGGTTTTATTGAATTTGAGCTTTGATTAAAATCATGATGACATGCTGGTAATATTTTGTAGTTTTTTGCTCAATGGACCCTTGTATACGCTAAAATGCGACAAAATTTTCTATTGTCAAATTACTTAATTTCTGGACCTACTGATATTTCATCTAAACAAGACAAATAAGAATGACACAATATGTGTACTACTTTATGTTAACCAATATTTCTTGTCCCTTAGATACATGTGCACTTATTAGGACAATACTGTCTGATGTCTACAATAGGTGTCCCAAATTGAGCCCTTATTACGTGTACACCAGACAGTTACGTGAGTTGAACTGTCTCCAATAGAAGCTAAAACGTTATATGAATTTACTACACAATGTACATAAGACAAATTTACTACACAATGTACATAAGACATTTCTTTACTATAAGGTCGTGATAAGTCTGCGCAAGTTGATCTTTCTTGTCAGTTGTTGTCCTGTGACCGTAACAAAAGGACAACGCACAATGTTACGTGTTTAAGATACATAGTTTGGTGTTTGTGTATTCTGAAATATATAGCGAGATGAAGCCGACAAGAATTAACCAACACTTTATTATGTGTGGTCCCTTGTAAATCCACGCACCATCCTTCTGATTAGCCTGCTACACTCGACTCTAGCCGTCAGCGCCCTACCCTGTAATATTAATTAGACGAGGTTATCATTACAGACTGAGCTTCATCACGAGACGCGAAACTTCCGTCAAATCGATCCCTGATCATACCCTTTTGAATGACCATGGATCACGGTTCGACTGGCCTCTAAGACTAAAATCACAAGGAATCTTGTAACGGGAGCCTAAATTGATAACTATCTTCGAGAAATAACATTAATTGGTGTGAATACTTTTTTTTAATTCTATCACTTTATGCGTCGATTGTAAAATGTACGATTTAATTTAGCTTTGTATGGACGGTATCTGATTGGCTCTGTTAAGGTTATTTCCTGTCAAGGTTCCTGTAACTCGGCTCCTCTGCTAGCTCGTGTTCTTTACATATAGCTGATAATTGCTAACGATTGGCCTTATTTTATGTCATTAACGTTAATTATGGTGGAATGGGTGCTAAGGCTATAGAGATGTTCCTTGGTATTATAGAAACCCTAACAAGTAAACTATTGGCACTTATACAATTTGATAGGGCATTTTGTGAACGGTTGGCTTACTTCAGTCTCTTCAACTTACATCTCGTGTATCTTCAATGATGGCGACGTCTTTATCAGGATAAGATAACCGGAGCTGTACTTAAGTCATTAGTCTCGTCTTCTTTCATGATCAATAGATCATCAGGAAAAAACGAACCATGTTATTGTATGACTTGTACGGTCATTGACATACGATTTATATAATTCACATACAGATTTATACATCTATCAAATCAATTATTTCGAAGCAGTTTACAACTAATACAAATTTAATGTGCTTTGTGTACTCTTCTTAAAATGCGTTTACAATGATAGTTTATTTCAGTACATACGTCTGTATATAAAAAGTAAGTAGTATACAACACAAGTGACATCATGATAAATATTACTGCTTGATATTATAATATGAATATTGAGATATTGTATTACCAAAAATCAGAAAGATCAATGCAGATAATTAAAGAGAGGTAACCTGTATGGGGTGTCATTATAGAGAGGTAACCTGTATTGTGTGTCAATATAGAGAGGTAACCTGTATTGTGTGTCAATATAGAGAGGTAACCTGTATGGGGTGTCAATATAGAGAGGTGACCTGTATGGGGTGTCAATATAGAGAGGTAACTTGTATGGGGTGTAAATATAGAGAGGTAATCTGTATGGAGTGTCATTATATAGAGATAACATGTATGGTGTGTCATTATAGAGAGGTAACCTGTATTGTGTATCAATGTAGAAAGGTAACTTGTGTGGGGTGTCATTATAGAGAGGTAACCTGTATGGGGTGTCTTTATAGAGAGAAATATAGAAAGGTAACCTGTATTGTGTGTCAATATAGAGAGGTAACCTGTATGGGTTTAAATATAGAGAGGTAATCTGTATGGAGTGTCATTATATAGAGATAACATGTATGGTGTGTCATTATAGAGAGGTAACCTGTATTGTGTGTCAATGTAGAAAGGTAACCTGTGTGGGGTGTCATTATAGAGAGGTAACCTGTATGGGGTGTCATTATAGAGAGGTAACCAGTATTGTGTGTCAATGTAGAAAGGTAACCTGTGTGAGGTGTCATTATAGAGAGGTAACCTGTGTGGGGTGTCATTATAGAGAGGTAACCTGTATAGGGTGTCATTATAGAGAGATAACCTGTATGGGGTTTTAATATAGAGAGGTTATCTGTATGGGGTGACATTATAGAGAGGTGACCTGTATGGGGTGTCATTATAGAGAGGTAACCTGTATGGGGTTTTAATATAGAGAGGTTATCTGTATGGGGTGACATTATAGAGAGGTGACCTGTATGGGGTGTCATTATAGAGAGGTAACCTGTATGGGGTGTCATTATAGAGAGATAACCTGTGTGGGGTGTCATTATAGAGAGGTAACCTGTGTGGGGTGTCATTATAGAGAGGTAACCTGTATGGGGTGTCATTATAGAGAGGTAACCTGTCTGGGGTGTCAATATAGAGAGGTTATCTGTATGGGGTGTCATTATAGAGAGGTAAACAGCATGGGGTGTCATTATAGAGAGGTAACCTGTATGGGGTGTCATTATAGAGAGGTAACCTGTATGGGGTGTCATTATAGAGAGGTAACCTGTGTGGGGTGTCATTATAGAGAGGTAACCTGTGTGGGGTGTCATTATAGAGAGGTAACCTGTATGGTGTGTCATTATAGGTAGGTAATCTGTAGGGTGTGTCATGTCATGCAGTTAACCGGTAAAGTGTGTCACTGGAGACAGTTAACCTGTATGATGCATTAACATGTTCACCATTACTATGCTATAGTAAACTGTTCACCTGTATGATGTGTTATTTCAGAGACAATAGGGGACAAAACAGAGATAAGTGAGGATGGCCAACCTAAACTAAAACAGCGGCGCAGTAGGACTAACTTTACTTTGGAACAGCTGAATGAACTGGAACGATTGTTCGATGAGACACACTACCCAGACGCCTTCATGCGGGAAGAGCTTAGTCAGCGACTGGGTCTGTCAGAGGCCAGAGTACAGGTATGGTAGTCAAAACGTTTACTACCATTGATAAAAAGACACCATAATTCATCCTCCTTAACTTGTCATTTATCTCCTGAATTGACAATTTATCTGTCAAGTATACAATGTAAAACCACTCCCACTTTCCACAAGGCGTCCTTCGTTTTAGATTATTTCTACAGTCATCGTGTTGTCGATCGTGCTTCATATCGACAATTTAATATTGAAATAGCATGTTTAGAAATAATGGATCCATATTTTATACATTTTTTTTTTAAAAATCAGTCTTAATATTGAACAGGAGACACTATTCCGTAACCGATAATTTACTTACAATAAAAAGTAATGTTCGTGCTGAAAGGTCGTCTATTTTTCTTTTCCTATCCTTGTTTTGATGAAACGTGAAAACCAAAAAAATATATAATCGTACTAAATGCAGTGCTATATGATAGTTGTTCCCTATACTTCGTGACCACGTTGTTAAATCTATTGTGTAGGAATATCATATTCCGTTAAGCAAATTGTTTCTCAAATATCTCTCATTGAAATATTTTTATCGTAACACAAACATGTCTGCGGACATTTTTATTTGTCTATTTGTTATTCACTTTCAAAAATGTTCATTTTTCGTTTAATCAAATTCATTACGTACCACTTCATTGATAACAAGCTGTTACTAATGAGATATACGTTGTGAAGAATATGTTTTATCGTCGACCCGGTACAAATGTCCTTCATAAATTCAAATTAGATATATATACTATGCGACTTCTGGTTAATAGTTAAAATCAAAGTATCTTTCCAATGCATCATTCATACTCTAAATTTTAAGGCTTGCTCCAATAATTTTGTCCATCATATTGCAATATTACATTTATTTACAAAATCAGTGTCATCTCCAAACTTCGCCAGCATTTTTCATCAGGCTGGTGTTCGTTACCTTGCGGAAACGGAAATGTTTAGAACATAACCATTTCCGTTTCATAGATAACTGTCTAACGTATGACACAGCTGCTTAAAAAACCATTTATCCGGAACTGCAGTATTGCTGAGAACTTCAGAAATCCAAACCGATAAAGGGAAAGAAAATGATGTTCCCTTGACAACCTGATAATTGTGATGTTCCCTTGACTACCTGATAAATGTGATGTTCCCTTGACTACCTGATAATTGTGATGTTCCCTTGACTACCTGATAAATGTGATGTTCCCTTGACTACCTGATAAATGTGATGTTCCCTTGACTAACTGATAATTGTGATGTCCCCTTGACTAACTGATAATTGTGATGTCCCCTTGACTACCTGATAAATGTGATGTTCCCTTGACTACCTGATAATTGTGATGTTCCCTTGACTAACTGATAATTGTGATGTCCCCTTGACTAACTGATAATTGTGATGTCCCCTTGACAACCTGAAAATTGTGATGTCCCCTTGACAACCTGATAATTGTGATGTCACCGGGAAGATTTGATAATTGTGATGCCCCCTTGACTTCCTGATAATTGTGATGTAACATTGAAAAGCTTATAATGTCGCCTGAAAGACCCGATGACTGTGATGTCACCCAGAAGACCTAGTTATTGCGTCGATGATTTGAAAACCTGATGACTGTTACGTCACCACGGATACCCTCCCCCCCCCTAAAATCTAAAGTGAAAAAAATAATGCAAATACTCGTCACATGCACATCTAGAACTTTAAAATGTTTTATAGATTAAACAGATACAATAAACATATCACAACATTGAATTTGAGAAATAAATTATACAATACAAACAACATAAATTACCAATTACAACGATATCTCTATATCATTTTAACAATGTTTGAAGGCCTTAATATAATTATGATTCATATTGTAAAACGACAATTCCAGATTCCCATCATTTTCGATGAATTTCAATTTGGAGGTGTTTTTAGACAAGGTAGTGGTCATCTGCCCTCCCCAGCCATTCGCTTATCAATGCGATGAGAAGATGTCGATTTCTTGGTATGTAAACCTCACAACGCTGAACACTTACTATGCAATACTTGATCAGTACAGTTCAGAACTCACAAGATCATGGCTGTCATGCAAGCCGTCATCAGACGACAAATAAACTCGTAATACAGTTTAGAGTTTACAAGGTTGATAATGAAAGTATTTCCTTCCTTTTGTCCAAAGTTTACATAAATGATGTCGATGGCGATGAAGACATTTACCCTTTTGGAACGCCTTGTCTTTTCTTGAGTCTCCGTGTTATTTTTTCTGTTGTCAATATTTGCCCTATAGTTTTATCGATTTTGAGTCTGAGCGCAGATTCTGTTGATACATGTATGTCTGTGTTTTCCTAACTGTTCTTGTGTTATATGAAGGTCTTTGGAATATAGTCTAAGAAGTGTCAGTATTGTTTTATTATCAGTACCAAATCTTACTTACCCATCAGCAACGTGACTGTACATTTAATCATATCGGTGTAAATATCCCAGTATAATCTCAGTTGTTACGTCCATATTTTTGAGATCCTAAATAACGCTTTCATATAAAAATTATCTTGCAAATTAATTAAACGTTATGACTGTATTCTTAAAGTCATTAGCAAGACAAAAACGGTGTATAGACAACTGGTCCAAAACCCCAATTAAATTTGTAAAATATTGAGATTGATATCTGACAATTTAGAAATATTTTTTTTGCTGTTGTCTTTTCATCGTTCTATGTTTAGGACCGATCACTAACAATATTTTTCCTGCAACACATCAACCTCGCTCTTTTATAGATAGATATCGGCACTAAAGTTAGATGTATTGAGTTGTTTTATTGATGTCAATGAGATAGATTAGCTGTGTACATATTTACAAAGTAGTTTGTTTCCCTCTCTCAGCGGTCACTCGCATTGGCAGATGGTCATCACTGTGAAAATACTCGATAATTTGCCTCATTTCGTAGACAGAGCCACAAAAATTCGCACAGAGGTGTACCATCGCGTATAGGTGGGGTTGACTGGCTGTACAAAGGGGCATGATCTTGTCAACTCCCTTCCATTGTCGACTGTCACTCATCCTAATTGATTCTTTTGGATTAATTTAGAAGTAAAATCAGTGAACGAGTAGGTCCGTTTTCTTGTCATGGGCAATAAGAGGAACATATCAAAATGAAGAGAAATTCAATAATTTGCGAGCAATGTTTGCATTTGAATTATCAAACACGTGACCCGCACGCGTCACGAGCCTGGCAACAATCTGCGCCAAGACGGGCCTAACGACAGAGTTCCCGATCCAAGCTCCTTCGGGACCCCGACTAATTGGATAACAGCGTCTCAACTATTTCTTGGATTATATACTGGCCACGATGCTTATATAATTGGCACTTTGAGGGCACATTAAAAGCCGAGTTTAATTTGATTAATTTGGGAGCCATTTGACGAGTGTTAGTTAATATTAGTCGCTAATACTGGGGAGGAAGGGTGGAAGGATAGACTCTGGTCCCCTGGCGCCTCAGCGATCCATGTCAAGGCGTGCATTTGCCATGCGCTCAGACATATATCAGTTCACGATTCTTGTCTGACGTGACCACCAAACTCGACATGGCTAGGTCAGTGTTGTAGACGTAAGTATATGTAAATAATTCGACACTTCATGGCTGACATTTGCAGACGCGATCTGATATATAAAAGCCTATGGAATTAGCATACTCTGAAATGTCAAAGGACATCGGTAATAAGAAAGGTGTTTGAGTTTGTCTTGTATATGAATTATCTTCTTTGTTACCCGTTATACATCCTCAGACGCCATGGATGTCCTTTGTGTATAGTAGATTTGATCATACATACTATTATGTTTGCATAACGGCCACAGGGGTACTAATATACACAGGTCTAGGCGTGGTCAATTCGGAGTTATTGCCCTTGTCAGATTTCATAACGTTAGTCTATATTATTTGCTTTTACTGCTCCTTGGCGAATTCACACATCCACATATGATTTCCAAAATGGCTATAGTAATGTTCTAAATCAAAATATAGGTAAAAATAAATGTCATAACCCACGACGAGGTCAACTCGCCCCAAAATTGATAGCCATACCTGTCACATAACTGCATTGTTATCAGTGCAATAATATCGATTACATAAATTGTGTTATGACAAGACACCAAACAACAAATGGAACCCTGATCGAACGAAGTTTCGTGATAATAAAAAGGTCATAGTGTTATATGCATTGCGACGTGACCAGAGAAAAACAATGTCACTAATGTAGATATTATAGTCTAATCCAATGTTGTTTTAATAAATATTTGCGAAGGCATTTAAGTAATGTTAGACAATATTATATTAATCCTAAACTATTTTAAAACTCACAACACAATTCTTTATATATTTGTAAGATTACAAAACATTTATTTAGCTGAGTTTAAGGGCAACATCTCTGTTTTTTCTTATGTGTTATTGCATAAGCAACTATAGTGTGTTGATGAATAATATCAAAAATTAGGTAATGTTAACAATTAAAAACAACTCTCTTCAATATTAAATGTCAAAAAATCAGTGAAGCAACTTCATGACCACTCTCCTTAAATATAAAACGTGTGAAGTGACTTCATGCCCGCATTCCTTAAATATAGAACGTGTGAAGTGAATTCATGCCCGCATTCCTTAAATATAGAACGTGTGAAGTGAATTCATGCCCGCATTCCTTAAATATAGAACGTGTGAAGTGAATTCATGCCCGCATTCCTTAAATATAGAATGTGTGAAGTGAATTCATGCCCGCATTCCTTAAATATAGAATGTGTGAAGTGAATTCATGCCCGCATTCCTTAAATATAGAACGTGTGAAGTGAATTCATGCCCGCATTCCTTAAATATAGAACGTGTGAAGTGAATTCATGCCCGCATTCCTTAAATATAGAACGTGTGAAGTGAATTCATGCCCGCATTCCTTAAATATAGAACGTGTGAAGTGAATTCATGCCCGCATTCCTTAAATATAGAACGTGTGAAGTGAATTCATGCCCGCATTCCTTAAATATAGAA